AAGAATATATGCAGTATATTATTTGTTGAAACTGTACTTCCGATTTGATTTGAAACTGTCTCATTGCTATCTGTTTATCAATAAAATTTTGAAAAAAAAAAATGAGTGACTCTCACACCCAATGCTCTCCGCTCACGAAGAGCCTCTCCCAGATACCAAAGCGAAGGACTGGTTAAGAGCGGGCGGTTCTCAGGATGAACCTGTGGTTTTGCTTCTTTTTGGCGGTGCTGAGATGGAACTCCAACAGGACTCAGCTCCTGAGCTACTCCCGCAGCCCTGGGTCACTTTTTCATGTGATGAATTTCACATGAGCCCTTCTAGAGGAGGCAGTTCAGGGGTGCTGGGTGTGTCCCCACAGTGGTGTGACCACCACCTCCATCTGGGTGGACCTGTCCACTTGCCTCTGGAGGAGACCCTGTCCCCATTAAGGACCTGCTTCCCGTTGCCCCCTTGTCCCAATGAGTGCCTGCGTTGAATAATATCCCATTTTATGTATCCATTTGTCTATGGCTTGAATAGTGTGTCTGATGGTCCTGTTTCACCCACAAGTGTTTGTTAAACACCTCTTATGCAGGGGCAGAAGTGCTGGCTCCCAGGCTTACAGCCCGTGTGCTCATGGCCCTGTGTCTGTTGGGGACATGATGATGGTCACAGGCAGAACATAGGTGAGAGGTGTGGGCAGCCTGGCAGCCCACAGGATGGGGAAGGGAAAGCTGTCATCAGGCCCACAGCACCAGACTGCAGTTCACAGCTGGCTTCTGGGCTCAGTGAGGGGACAGGTGAGCAAGAGGAGGGGACACCTCCTTGCATGTACAAGCCTGGAACCAGCTAGTGACACAGCAGGGCATAGGGCAGGGAGCAAGGCCAAGTAGGACAATTGGACATAGAGACAGGAATCAAGTTGGGAACTCCATCTCCTCAGCCCAAGAGTTAGATCAAGAGAAGACAGGACCAAATCCAAGCAGTGGTCACAATACGGTCACCAAGGACAGACAGCGGCATGGGCAGTGGCTATGGCAGGAGCTCTGGGCGGTAGACACAGCTGCTTGCTGACACAGTCGATAGCAGTTGATAGACAGGGTGGGGCCTTTGTGACACCCGACCACTGTCCTGGCAACCACAGCATGTGTACATTTTGTTGTCTGGCCTTGGCAGATAAGCTGCACCTGCAATTAACAAAAACATTGTTCTCCTCTGAGCAGGAAGAAGATGAGGAGTGGAAAATGTCACCCAGCGCTTTCCTTCAGTCTCTGCAGGAAGGAAACAACTTATACAAAGGTCAGTTGAGGACAGTTCTCGAGGTGACCAAGGCGTCGCTCCTGCCACAAACGTAACACACAGGCCTTAGCGCCCACATACTGAGAGGACTCAGGCACCCGACAAGAGGCCATGGGCGTGTACCTCTCAGTAACTCTGTGTCCCTGATTCCTTCTGGTGGCTTACAGAGGTATAATTGGTAAAAGTGCAAGACACACACAGCATGAGAATATGTTGGAAACTTCTATCCTGTGCTTTGAATGCCTAAGACTTCAGCTGACCATTGGCTTGCATAGTGATGGGAAAGGGAGGTATTTCCTAGACTGCTTACACAATGAAGATGGATACCATACGCACAGTAAAATGCTTAATCCTATTAGACTGAGACAAGTGCCTGAGTCCTCACACGTAACACTTCTGTCAGTTGTTCAGCATAAGTACCATAGCCATAATCTGACCAGACCTATGCCTGCATGGCTTGGTCCTTCAGATAGTGCTACCAAAACTGGCTGGAACTATTGTTCGATTCCTCTACTTCCACCCTACCCTCAGGACAAATGCCAACACAAGATGATCCACCCACATGATCCTGGTCATTGGTGCTGTCTACAGTGAGGATGTGGAAGAGGGTTTCCCAAGTCGGCCTTTCATGCCCCTCCTTCCTGCCTTGGCTGATCCAGGCGGCCCTGGTGCTGTTGTTGAATGCAAGTGGACGCCGCTTTCGCCCTGATAGATGAGGACTTCATCCTAAGCAATGCCAGTGTAGTCATAGATCTGACACATTGGTGTTAATGACAGAAGAGAACATGTCTAGGTGGCACCCTAGGTTTTCTGACTGACCACTGGGGGCAAGGAGGACATTACAGTACAGGAGCCACAGAACTGAGGCGGAGCCCGGAGGGAACCATGACGTGGGCAGGGCTTGGCACCAGGGAGACAGGAGGTCACAGGGGTCAGCTGGCGTTTATTAAATGCCTGCAACAGGCAGGGCCCGCTATTCCCTGTGTCCTTCCCTTTGATGTCAGCTGGGAGAGGCATACAGCTGCCTCGTCAGCCCCACGGCCTCCAAGCCTGAGGTCCACTGCTTCTGCAAGATGCAAAATGTCCACTTTCATATTCACTTAGCAAACATAGATGGGGCATCCCCAGCACATCCCCAGCAGTGCGGTCCTGGAGATCTCAGATGAAGTCTGCTCACACTGTGCTGGGGGTGGCCATGAGCAGGGTGCTGGGAGAGTGGCACAGTTGCACCAGTTGGGGCAAAGACGCCACCAAATCCCACTAGGAATCACAGCAGTCACCCCTGATGGTCCACACAGGAGCACAGTGACACTGCCTTGCACCCCATTCTGCTCTGGCCTTACAGTCCTGCTCTGAGCTCTGCTCAGAACCGCCCACTAGCACCGCAGATGAACCCCATTCCAGGCCTTCTCCCCACACAGGCAGCGTCCTCTGGCCTCCCTGACCTCTGCTGGCTTCTTGCTACTCTCTGGCTTCTGTATCACTTCTGCTTTGGTGGAGCCCATTCTCAGGGAGGTCCTGGGAAGGAACACCCTCGGGGACTGTCACATGCTGCCCCAGTCCTGTCCTGTTCAGAGCTGGGCTGGCCCCCTGGAGGTGAGAGGAGGTGAGGGGCTGTGAAGCCTCCCTGTGCTTCTGAACTCATAGCATTCCTGGGCCCCACTTCCTGGCAGGCTCTCTGGATCCTGGGTGCCTATAGGCACTCGCATCCTGCTGTGGGCCTCCAATGCCAGGGTTCTAAGTTTTGCTCCTTTGAATCACCCTAAAACCATGCCTCGCACCCCAGCCTTGGAAAAAATGTCTTCCATGAATCCACACCTGATGCCCAAAGGTTGAGGGACTGCTGGCCCACACTCACACTCGGGGTGCAGAAGGCCCGGCTCCTTCCCATCTGATAGAGCTCTGGAGAAAGAGGAGAATGGTTAGCAGGAGCAAAAGCCTTCTCTCCCAGCATCAGACATCAGGGGCCGGTCTGAAGTTGATAAGCCAAGAAGAGGCAGGGAACCTTGGTGCAAGGCTGGGAGAAGCTGCAGCACTGGTGCTGCAGGCGGGCAGCACACGTCTGTCCCCCTGCTCAGAATGCTTGTCCTTGCAGGCCAGGAGGGAGCTGGCTGGAGTAGCATCAGGCGCCTTCCGGCCCCCTGCTCAGCCTGTCCACACGCTGCACTTGGATGGAGGCTGCTGCTTTGCGGCCCTCTGAGGGTGGGCCTGCTTCCAGTGGCACCAGAAGCTCAGGACTTAACAGCTGAACATGTTCCTATCTTCTGCAGTGAGCGCAGGGGCACAAGGAGGAGTGTCATCCGGCAGGATGACGGGAGCTTTCTCACTAGTGTTTTACCACTCTGGATTTGTTGCAGACAATACGTGTTCATTATTTTAACAAAAAGTAAAAATTGAAGGGAAAATCAGACCTTCCCACCAAGAAGGCAGCTCCTGCAACCTGCCAGCCCTCAGCGAAGACGCTGCCCCACCTTCTGCAGAATGTCCTTCCCCAAGTGGCTGCAGAAGCACAGCCCCAGCTGGGGGCGGGGTGCTCAGAGGTGCCAGGTCTTCCTTACCTTAGGGAAACCAGAGCTCTTCATTTTGAGAAGTCTTTTCTTTCAAATCAAAGGGTTTCCTTTCCAAATGGGACATTAGCATTTTAATCACTCAGATTAACCCCCGGCTCCCTCCCGGGCCACCTCCTGACGTGTGAACCCGCCGGCCTGCTTTTCACATTCTTGAGATAAAAGAGCCTTCTCTCTCCAGGAGCGAAAGGGGCACTTGCTGCCCTTTGAGGGTTGGGAACAGTTTCCTGCATGTATAAATGCCCATGAAATTCTTCAAGGGATTGCAAAGTGGCCTGTGCTAGAGTGGCATGAGAAAGGCAAAGTCTCGGCGGAGCACTCAATCCCCTGAAGCCCTCGGAGGAGGAGGAGGAGGAGGAGGAGGAGGAGGAGGAGGAGGAGGAGGAGGAGGGAAGCTGCCTTCCACTGCTTTCTTTCACAAGGGTCTGCAGCCGCAGCTTGGGAATGTGTCACTCGGGACTGGATTGTTTTTTTTTTTTTTTCTTTTTCCATAAATAATCATGTCATGGTTTCCCTGCTGTTAAGTAGCCTGTGCTCCTTTTATTACAAAATAGGTCGGTCCCCATCGTAGGGAGTGCTATGCCCTGAAAGAGGGAAGTGGCTCCCTGGCAGGACCAGAGCTCTCCGGTTCCAAGTGCCTTCGGGTACCAGGTCCGCCTTCCTGCTGTCCTCACTTGAGCAGTCCCAGGAGGGGGAGGGCTGTTGGGAAGCCTTCCTGTTAGTAAGTCGTACGTTATCACGCGTTCAAGCCTTTCTACCATTTTCTGGGGAGGGGAAGCTTACTACCTTGAGCACATTTTTAAAAATGTGTTATTCCTGCGTTTTAAAGTGATCTGCAGTTTAAGCTCATGTGGATTTCAGAAAATGTGCTACAGATGAATGATAACCTTCACCTGCTGGCGCCAGAGCTTGGCTGTGCTTTTGCGGCTCAGCATTCTACCAGCCAACTGCAGATCACCTCCGGGGGCCCCGAGCAAGGGGTGCGCTGAAAAGCAGCGCTGGCCTAGCCTAGTCTTCTCGTCACTGCAATATGAAGACAAGGCAGCTGTGCGTGTTCCTGGAGCTAGTTCTGCCGGGTGGGTGCACCCAGGAAAGGTGATTTCCTAAGTAGGAGTGCAGTCAGGCCTTGCACCCGCCCCACCACATGCCCCCCCACCTGTCGGCTCTGTGAGGTCCCTGCCCTTGGCTCCTGTTCCCTGCCCCAGGGGGTGATGGCACCCTCTGAACTTTGGTGTCCCCTCCTGGGCTCTGAGCCCCAGTCCCTGGACCTCAGCTCACACGGCCACCCTGTCCCAGGACAGACACATGGGTGAGTGTCTGTGATGAAAAATGCACCTCCTTTGTGGTTTAGTTTCTGTTTGTTTCTCTTAGGATCCACGTGGCCTTTCTAGGGAAGAGTGGGTCCTTCACGCATCATGGTTTCCAAAAGCTGCTCCTCCTCAGCCTCACATCCCCAGCAGGCTCCTTGGCCTCTGGGTGGCGGAGAGCTTGGCCAGCCTTGGTTCTCTCTTAGCTCTTCCGGGCCAGCACCCTTGTGGTAGCGATAGGTGAGCCAGAGGGTGGCAGCAAGGGACAACTGCCGCGAGTCTCTCTCAGAACCCTCCCCGGGTGTTACACACTCACACTGTCATCCAGTTCACTTCCCGCAGGACGCATAGTCCTATTTTGTGAGGGTCCTCAGTTGTGCCGCTATTGCTGCCTTGATGTCCCTTATAGATGCAAAGCATTGACCTCTCCTGGTCACTGTGACTTTGGAGAATAAGGTGCACACAGAACCTGTCATCTTTTATGACCAGCCTTTCCCCTGGATGACCCTGGGCGGTGGCAGGTACTGCAATTGTTGATCGCACCTCATAAAGACACTCAGGAAAGAGAACTCCAGAACTACTTCAGACAGAAACAAGAATGATGGGAAGATTGTGCTTGAAAGGAGGGAAAGAAAATTTGGGAAGGGAGTTAGCAGCTGTGTGCTTTTTGCTCTAATTCTGTAAAAACGTAAACATTCGCTGTGTATACTGTGATCACACAGCATAGACTCCTGGAAGGGCTTCGCTTCCCAAGGCACTGAGGCGCTCTGCGGCACGAGACCCCCAAGCCCCGTGCCTCAGACCCAGCTGCTCGCCCCACGTGTATTTGGCATCCCCTCCTGCGAAGTGAGCTCTGCTTCAGCTTCACTGAATGATGCAAACTTTTTCTTAACCTCTCTCAGGTCACACTGCTCTAAGTCCATCCTCATAACCACCAGGGTAAAGCCAACAAGAAGGGAAACTTAGAATACGTGGGATTTCAAAAGCATCCCAACAGAAATTCAAAGCTAGAGCTGTTGAATCAGGTGGCCAGCAGTGGATTTCTGTGTGTTTGGTGTTACCTGCTGTACAACGGGGTCAGGGTGAGCTGCGGATGTTCAACAGCTAACAAAATCTCTCGCATCTCAGTGAATCTTATGAATAAGAAAAACAAGAGCTATATTGCAAAGCAGACCCCTACAGTTGTATAACCCCATGTAACACACACCTTTCCTGTGGTTATAATCGTATCATAGGATCCTGGTTGCATCAGATCTTTTCACCTGATGTTTACACGTAGGCCATTTCTTCTTTTTCACAAGACATCATTCAGTCATGTCTATGAATCTCCTCTCTCTCTCTAGCTTCTTCCATTCAAACTTCTATCCTGTACATTAGGGTAAGAAGATTAGACTTCACTGTGTTGCAGGAACTGCTTCCATGAACCTACATGTTTATTATTTTCCACTTTCTTTATCCTTCTGGAATACAGACATGTGGATGAATAAAGACGAATCTTGGAATTTCCTTCAGGATTATGACCCAGAACTGATCAAACAGGAGAAGCGGAAGGAATTAGAGGCAGAGATCAGAGTGCAGGTATCTACCTTGACCCTGTGAGGAGAAAAGTCATTCGCTTCAGTGACTGTGCTTCCCACTCTCCCACAGATGACCTGCCCCAGAACTTAAAGAATTTTTAAATTTCACCCCAAAAACCCAAGACAGGAGTCTTAAAAGTCAAATGTTTAAAAGCTCTGTTTCATTTCCACCTAGGTTGACGAGTTGATGAGACAGGAACTAAAAAACTTAAAACTAGCCGTGAACAAAGAGAAGGAACTTCCAGTCAGAGAAGGAAGAAAGAAAGGGAAGCAGGTGAGGCCTGAAGTAGCGGAGTGGGAGACTCAGTAGTGGAAGGAAGCCCTTGCCTGGGCACAGGAGGTCTATGAGAGCCACCTGCAAGACTGCCTGGCCATCCCCAGGATACCTCACAGGCAAGCATGCCTTCCCATGATGCATTTCGGTGGACCTCCATCTGGACTGCGGGCCTGTGGGCTTACAGTAGTCTGAGCTCAGCTTCCCTCAGCTGACCTCCCCTGCCCATCAGCTTCAGAGTAACAGCCCCCGACGTCCCCAGAGCAACTGGAGCAGGTGCCCCAGGCATCCTTCCTCTCTCCTGTGGGTCATCCTGTGGGGGAGGCCAGCAACAGTGAGCTGCTTTGTGAGTGGGGGAATCACAGCAGAAGGAGCCAGACAGTGAAGTTCTGAGTAGGCCCACGGCCCATGACTGTGCAGAGCAGCCAGGCACCCAGGTGCACTTCCCCAGTCTCCCTGCTCCACTTTGATACCAGTGGCAGCCCTGCCATGAGAACCTAAATGCTCCAAGAAAGCCAAGACCTCTCCCTGGTGGCACTGGTGCGAGGGAGGCCACCCTGTGCTTCCTCAGAGCCCGGGCCAGGTTCCGTGCCACTCATCCTGGGCCTCACAGCTGGCATCTTATAGTCACATGTTCAGCTGAATGTGGGACTGGTTTTACTAACATGGCCTTAGATGACTGTCCCCCTCCATGGTGTGTGGATTATAGGGTAGAACTCTGAGGTCAATTGAGCTTCCAGCAGCCTGGTTCCGACATGTGCCACTGATGTGCCTTTTCTGATGTTCTGTACTCTCTGAGGCACCCATTAGCGCTGCCCTGGCCTCCACGCCTGCGATCTTTATCTGCAAGCAAAGCTGTGTTTTAGTGACTTAAGGAGAAGACAAGCTGTGCAGAGCGGGCAATGAAAACAGGAAGTAGCTGTGCCCTTTGAGCTGAAAGCAGGTGTCTCATCTCCAAAACTTGGCTTCAGCCCCACCCAGGTTGGAGCAGGCTTGCTCACCCTGCCCTCGTGCACTCTGCATCTGCTATGGTCCTGTCAAGGTCCTGCTCTGCCGCAGCAGGTGCCAGGGCGCCGTGTGAGATTGCAGCTATGTATGTCAAGGTAGAGTTTTGTGCACCCAACTCTCCACCTCAGGTCCCCTGAGGGTGAACTTGCAAGACAGGACAGGAGGAGGATGGAATTCCATAGGCTAAAACCTAACTGATTATACCAAATTCCAGAGAGAAAGACCCTTAGTCATGGAGAACAGGTGCAGGAAAGAAAGCAAAGTCACTGGAGGGGGAGAGCTTGGCAGAAGATGTAATCCAGCACCATCTGGATACCCAGACCAACCAGAGCTCAGCCATGACCCACAGAAGTCTTTATAAAGGATAAGATGATGTTTCCTCTCCCCACTTCAGCTCTGCCTTGGTGTGCCCATCCCTGGGAATCAAGGCTGCAGACTCGTTCTCGTGGGCCTTCCAAAAGCCCAGAGTGGGTCTTGTTCCTTCTCTGCATGCACTCAGTCCCATGCACTGTGTCTTCCTTGTATTTCATCACAAGAATTCTACACAACATATAAAAAGAAAAACTAATACCAATCTTTCTCAACCTCACCCCAAAACAAAATAGAACACAGCCCAGCAGCACCCTGAAAACAAAGCCAGATAAAAATTCTACAGCAAAAGAAAACTACTTATTAATATCCCCTAATGAATCTGCAAGTGCATAGCCTCAGCAAAAGGTTGCCAAACTGAGCCTGACAGGACAGGGAAGGTTACACATTAAGTGCTGGGGTGCAAGGATGGTTCGATATGCCAGTCAGTCAATGGGATATGCTGTGTGAACCAAAGGCAAAACAGAAACCCATGTCACTTATTGCTGATCAATTTCAGTGATATTCTGTGCCACTTCAGTAGATGCTGAAAGCATTTGACAAAATTCACTATTCTTAGACCCATGGATGGTAGCTCACGTCTATAATCCCAGAGCTGGGAAGGCTGAAAACAGGAGGATCACTATGAATCTGAACTGCGGAGAGAGACCCTGTACCAGCGACATAAAAAAAATAACTATTCTTTCATAATAAGCACTCAACAAATTAAGCATTGAAGGAATTTATCTCAACCTAGCCAAGATCATCAGGACTGTATGATATTGCTTTAGGGAGGGAGGAAAGAAATAGAATGTGACAAAGGACACGGACACAGACCCACACAGATGCTCAACTGCGCTTTAGTAAAGGCACAGAAGTATTTCAAGGATGAAACAGACCTTTCTGAGTGCATGGGGCTGGCATAATTGGACAACCACTAGAAGAAAAATGAAGTTGATCTAAGTCTCACACCTTCTACAAAAATTAATTTAAAATTGGCTGCATTGAAATATACAGTATAAAAGTAGAAATTTCTTAGGAAAAATACTAAAAATGTTCCCAGTGTAAGGCTGAATGAAGAACTCCTAGAATTGAAACTAGAAGCACAGTTTATAAAACGAAAGTGTGGGCTTCATTAAAACTAAAAGACCAGCTAAGAGACAAAAGACCGGCTACCGACTGGCAGAGAGTCCTGGGAAACACCGTAGCTGACAAAGAGCTAGTATTCGGGATGTATTTGTCGTCAAAAATTTGAAATGCTGGCGAGATTTTAGGCAGAAAGAAATGCCTACACTGTCAGGGGGAATGTGAGTTAGTAGGGCAGCTATGGATTAGTAGGAATATTCCTCAAAAGACTAAAATCAGAGTTTCCTCTTACCCATGTGTACCTCCCCGGGTAGGTTCCCCTGAAGAGTTAATGTCACACTCTAGTCCTGCGTGATACCCGGGTTTGCAGCTGTGTTGATCTCTGCAAGCAGCCTGGATGCCTGTCAGCACAGAAAATGCAGAATATGTACACAATGGAATTTTATTTAGCCATAAAAAAGGATAAATCTGACTCATTTGTAGGAAAACGGATGAATCTTGAGACCATAATGTTGAATGAAAGTCAGACGCACCAAGTTACTCTCAGGAGAAACCCAATGATAAATAAAAGTGAAATAAAGGACGTGAGTAGCTGGATCCTAACACGGTGGTGGTGGAATGCAGTGTGGTCTGGCCACACTGCTGAGCAAGTTTTATGGACAAGAATAAACATGCAAAGACCACAGGGCCCTGCCATGGACCCATGGATAACTCTTTGCTCCCTGTGGGGATTTCTTCTTCATGTCCGTCACCTTGGCGTCGATGTTGAGGATGAGACCAACTTTCTCAGACCACAGTCAGGCTTAGCGGCCACCCTTGACCCTGAGGCAGAGGGTGATGTGGATAAAGTAGATTAGAGACCAGGCTGTGAAACTTAGTGCAGTGGAATTTTAAACTGTTCCCATGGTCATGGGGAGCGAGTGATGGCTATTTTAATAGAATTGCACAACTGTTGGCACTGTTTAAACACATCCCTCCTTGCTGTCACAAAGGCCTAAACATAAAGCCCCTTAGGACCCAGAGGGGGACAGTTGCCTGGCCCTGAGGACAGCAGATTCAGGGCCATGTGCTAACAGAGGGAAGCACCTGGGCACTGCCCTGGTCTCTGTGCTGCTACTGTGAAGAATCTTAGACTGGATTGGTAACTTATAAACAAACACTAGAAAGTTACTGCGCATAGTCCACAGCTGGGAGGCCCACGCCGAGGCCTCGCACCCGCTGTCTGCGCATAGCTCCCTCCACTCAAGGATGGCCCCTTCCCACTCTTTCCATGGAGGAAGGAGGAGTAAGCTCTTCCTGTCCACTGTAGGAAGCACATGAGCCTAGGCATGCAGTGGGAGCCCCTGGGACACCCTCACACCAAATGCCCACCCCCTCTTGATGTCACCTGGGGGTCAGGAGTGGACATCTGAATCGTGGCACTCCACTTTTAGGCCACAGCAGGTGTCAGAGATCAGTACAGCATCGCTCTCCACCTGTACAATGGCCCAGGAGAAGGGGCAGAATGCCCAGCGCCCCTTGGGAGCTTGGCCCCGGGCAGGTTCCCCATGGAGGTGTCCCCCGTTTCCATGAGTCTGGGCCACAAGAGCACCTCAGCCCAAGTTCAGGGTCATGGGCTCCCTCTCCCACCCTCATCCCTAGGATGGTTTGCCTGGCTAACCTTAGTGATGTCTCACATGCTTATTTTTACTAAATTGTTACTATTTCCATTTTCTTTTTGCCAAAGAAAGGAGGAAAAGGCAAAAAAGGGAAGAAAGGGAAGAAAGACAAGGACCTGACTGCTGACAGGTAAGGACTGGACACCTGGGGAGCAGCAGGCAGGGCAGGGAAGCTGGCAGGAAGCCAGGAACCAGCCAGGAGCCTCCCCTTCTCTTCTGACACTGTGCCTCAGTTTCCCCCCAGTGTGATGTGGAGGGGACAAGCCCAGGGCCAGCCTTGGTGCCTGTAGCCTCTGAGTTCCTGGGACTTAAGACTCAGAATTCCCAAGGAAGTGAATGGGGAAATGTACTTTGAAATTTACTTAGGAAATGCCACCCTGATGGGACTTTGAGGCCATCCTGAGACTTGGTCCTGCAGGGCAAAGACCAGCCCTGCCCACTGAGGAGCTGCAGCCCCTGTGACTGGAGCGGCACCCAGAGAGTCCCCAGGAGGACTGTCCATCCCTTGAGTTTCCTCCACTTTAGGGTAAATATGTGACTTTCAGTGCTGTAATGCTGAAAATAAATAGCAGCCAGGCCCAGTGGCAAGCGCTTGTTGGTAATCCCAGCACCATGGGATGCTGAGAGAGGAGGATGGCAAGTCCCAGCTCAGAGCTGGTAATGTGCTGTTTTAGTGAGACCCGGTCTCAAAATTTTAATTCACCCTGACTAGCTATATATGCTGATACCTGTGAACTAAGCAGCTGCACTGAAGACAGCAATGTGCAATATACTAAGGTCACGCTTGGAGTGCCTGCCATTCTGGTCTTCCAAATACGTACTTCTTGTCATGACATGCCAATTACTGCCATACTGTCTCTCAAGTAAATGTTTGTGGGTTTTTGTTGTTGTTGTTTTTGTTTTTGCAGAACCAGGGATTGAACTCAGGCCCTTGCACTTGCCAGGCAAGCGTTTATTCTACTGAGCTATCTCCCCAGCCCTGGTTTTTTTTTTAAAGGGTAATAAATGAAAAATTGAAACAAGAAAAAAAGTCACATGACTGTCCTGCTACAATGCTGTATATGGTTAGAGATTTCAACTTCTGTGTAAAAATATATAATTGTTTATTCATGTTTTAAAAATTTTTTCTTCATATTCTGTAGGGACTTAAAGTTTAACATATCAATACTTAATGGAAAATACCTGTTCCATGTTATGCCTAAGATGTTTGATATTCAGACAGACAGTGAGGTTAAACCCAACTGCATATGTTGTAGGGTAATAATAAGCTTCTCTTTTGGAGGATTAACAACTGAAGTTTGCAGACCAAAAATTAGAGAAAAAGAAGGGCTGAAAGGTCAGCTGACATTTTGACCCTAGCCTTTCAAGGTCAGTGAAGACTCAGGATATAGGAGGACCTGTACTGTAACATCATGTAATTCAGTTGTGCCCCAAATTTTCTGATCAAGGAGATTATAGGGCCATAGAGGAAAGTGATCGATGATGTGGAGTGTTCCTAAGGAGAGTCACATGGAGAGAAAACATTCTCTCAGGATTTCACAGAGAGCAAATTGGTCAAGCAATGGCTGTGACTCATCCACATGGCTGACACTGACGAAGGATCTACAAAGTGCAGTACAGGGTTTCAGGATAAATCCTGAGGGGACTTGACTGACCTTATCAGATACAAAAGTTACATTTCTTGTTACACAGGTCTTCCTTTATCTTGGTCTTAACCATCCAGAAGAAAGGTATAAAAACGAAGTATAAAGGGTGAGCCATGTTGGTATGCTGGGCTGTAAAGGGCTCAGGTCAACAACTTCTGACATTGCCAGTCCTGTGGATGACCCACTACTATTATGGACTACTGGACTATATTGGAAGATTTTGCTGAATTCATGCACCTAAACAAAAAAAGGGGATACAAATGAATGACCATTTTTTATCTGTATATTCAAAATAGGATAGATATACAGCTACATTCTTTTAATTCAATGAATAAGATTTGTTCTAATAGTGTTTGTGGATGGGATGTCATGTCTGCAACTTGTACAGTGAATAACCACTGAGACAACAATGTGTAATGTATTTATTATTGAAGCTGTCCTACTGATCAGTCGGTTAAAAAAAAAAAAGAAATTTTAATTCAAAAGAGCAGAAAGAGGCTGGGAAGAAAAAAAAAAAAGAAATTTTAATTCAAAAGAGCAGAAAGAGGCTGGGCATATAACTCAGTGTGAAGGCTCTGGGTTCATTCTCCACTACTGCCAAAACTAACTAGCAGTGCATCTTCGAACATCATCCAGGAACTGCGTTCAAAGCCCTGATCCGGAGGCAGCAGCAATTCCTCGCCTTGGGCTCTGCTCCGGGTCCTGAGTTGCTCCTGCGTTAGTCCACCCGGTGCTGCTGTTGGCAAACCCTGCTCAGGCGAGGTCCTTTGGCGATGAGGCCCTTTGAGCTCGCTGAGGGATGGAAAAGGGGAAGAGTTCAAGATCCCATCTGTGGACACCTTGGGCAGCCGGTGCACAGCCTTGGGACCTTGGGGGTTCCTTGCTCAAGCTGCCACATTCAGGGACAGCCTCAGGTGGAGACCCAGAGTCCCAATTCTGGCAGGCAAGCATCTATCCGTCTATCTGCACACCAACCTAGTTGGCTTCTGGGGCAGCTCCTGGGGACGGGGGTGGGTTACACTCCTCCCTGAAGGAGGACACAGCGCCACGGGTGTCCCGTTGCCAGTTTCTGGGGCCTCTTTATTCCTCTGCCTCTCACCCACCCTAAGAGTCCAGTGATGATGAAGCGATGCCAACTCTGCATGGGACACCCCTCGGCCCTGAGCTGCAGGCCCGGTGCTCGCTCTCCTGCACTGCACATACAGCTCTGCTGAATACAGTGCTGCTCACCAGCACAGCCACACGTCTGGGCGGGGGCCACGGGGGGGGGGGGGCTGAGGCTAATCCCGCATGTGCGCATCACAGAGACGCTGCGGGCGCTCCTCCCTGCCTTGCCAGGGGGCCGTGTGTTGTGCCCCATGTTATGTCCAGAAACAACATTAGGCATCTCACATCTGAACGACTTCACATTTTAACTGTAAAGACCCTGTCTCTCCACCAGAGCAAGCTCTGCCACAGCCACGTAAGATGACTCTGTGTCTCTCATCAAACTACCCCTCACCCCAGTGTCTCTACCATAGCTTAAGAAAACTTTAGAGTTAAAGATGCTTTATGCCACCAGAAAAGTTTATTTCATTGAAAACAAAATCCAAATAGAAGTTTGGGGTAGGGGCTTCCTAATATATTTTGCTTTGAGAGTTTTAGAAAATTGTCTTCAATTTTGGGCTCTCCTATGCCTGTGTTCTATGTTTGCATTGGATAACAACTCAAGCTAAACCCCTTTAGGTGGTATTGCTTTGATATAGACCAGGAGCTGTTTTCCCACTACTTTAGTTTCCTTTGTTGATGCTCAGACAAAATATCCAACACCTAAAGTTAAAGGAGGAAACGTTTATTCTGCCCACCATTTGGAGCGTTTCAGTCCCTAACGGGCTGACTCCACAGCAGGGTGGCGTGGCAGGCTGGGCTCTCAGAGGAGATGCAGTCATGGCAGACAGGTGGCAGCAAAGCAACGAGGGGCCTTGACAGCATCTTTCTTCCTCCTCCGTGGAGGCTGCTGCTGTTAGGGTGGCACCAAACCAATCAGAGGACCATTTAGTAATCGCTTACCCCAATCCCAGCATGCACCATGAACCAACCACACACTCCAGATCCAGCCACCCCCCCAAAAGCCCCATGATGACCACATGAGGCTCTGGGGGGACGTCTAGACCCAGCCATGACACCCGCATTCCACTACAGTCAAGCCTATCTTAGTTTTCAGCAGCGAGCATACTCTTAAATACATCTGGGGTCACTGCACTGGCAGGAATCCCCGTGGAACTGGGCTTGAGTTTTACTGATGTGCTTGGGTCTCTTAACATGCAGCTGGATCCCAGCGCAGAGGTAAGAACTGCTTACGTAGCGCTGCACTTACAGCTCCCTCCTAAAGAAAGGAGTGGGGTGCAAAACTGCTTAAAGCAGAGACAAAACACCTCCAAGGATCCTGCCGTACAATATTTGAGCTGTATTAGTCTGCGTTCCCACAAGCCAAGCTCCAGGCAATGTCACTGGGGAGCTCGTCTGCAAGTAGCAGATACTCCTTTTTTTTTTCAGTTGATCTAAATTACCAGCATGCTGCTCAGATGCCCAAGCCCCTCCCAGAGAAGTGGTTTTCATGGCTGTACACACTGCAAAAAAATAATCACCCTCGTAACAAACCATCTCACATGCTTTGGGTGTTTTATCTTCCGCATAAGCATTATCTCCAGTATAAGCTTTTGTTCCTTTTAGATATTTATTTTAAACTATTCTACCATTACATTAAAAGGAAACATAAATTTCACAAAGAATTAATGATCTCCTGTGACTAGCACATGCTAACTGAATATACAATTATGTGCCCATTGTGTTAGTATTATTGGGTGAGTTCTGATTCATAGTTGCACCGGCATGCAGAGTTATAGCTACTCTCGGGCACCCAAAGACATAACTCTTATTAATAGGAAATGTCCGGTATGCACGTGGGTCAGTGAAAGTATTTTTTTAAGGCCTAATTGATCCTCAAGGTGCAAAAATATTTCAAAACTCCAAATGTTTGTGTCTTAGTCACTGTTCTCATCTCTGGGACAAAATACTCAGCACCCACAAATTAAAGGTGGAGAGGTTTACTTTGGTTCAATCTGTAGAGGTTTCAGTTCGGAGTTGCTGGTTCAAAAGCAGCACAACTTGGCAGAGAGGAGCTGCTCATGCCCTGCAGAAAGGGAGGAGGGAGTTGAAGGAAGGGCCGGAGAGAGGTGACCCCTTCGGGGCCACAGCCCCAGTGACCAGCTTCTGCAACCAGGCTGACCCCTCAAGGTCACACTTTCATCAGGGGGTTAGTCCACTCAATTTTGGGGCCGGGGAGATGGCTCAGTAGGCTAAGCACTTGACTGGCAAACGCAGGGATCTGAGTTCAATCCCCGGTTCCGCCAAAAAAAAAAAAAAAAACAATTTTATCACACCCCCACAACCCTGGGACCTCCCCAAAGCCCCGCCTATGATGATCACAGCAGACTTGGGAGGAACATCCAGGTCTAAACCACCCCAATTTGCATACGCCCATTGAGGTGGGCGTGGTTTGAGTCTTTTGCTTATGTGACAATTGACCGATGCGCTGCAGATCTCATGTGTGACGGAGTCCGATGCTGTGCTTCACCCACAGGACCATCGAATCTCTGTACAAGGAGCTGGTGGAGAAGGGGCTGCTGATCCAGGCCCTGAAGGTCAACCTCTCTGATTACATTGGTAAGGCACACCGAGGACAGTGCGTGTACGCGTCACTGCTGCCGGGTCCCAAGGTCCAGCCGTGGACATACATTTCGGTTGTGTCTTGGTCAACACAGAGGCCTGCCCGGTGCTGCTTCCTGGTGAATGTGGGTGAGGTTGGAATAACTTGAATCTTTGAGCGGATGCTGAGTACACTAACAGGTTCTCTGCACAGTAACCGACCCCTTCGCTCCCCGTATGTAACCGAAGCAGCTTCTTCAATCTGCTAGCAGTTTCCGTGGTACATTTGGGTTGTTGCTGCTGCTGCTTCAACAGCAGCTGGGGCCCCTGCGCCAGACACACACCAGTGCCCCTGGACTTCATCTTGCTCTGCAGCGTGTGCCCTCTTAGTGAGCAGTAACCGCCTGAGGTCCCCACTGCACCGCAGGCCCACGCAGGGCACCAGCATCCGTGATGGCCTTGGAGGCCCCTTGGCCACAGAGCCGCGCGCTTCTCGAAGCCCCACCTCCTCCCTCTTCCACCCACATCTGAAGAATTTACTAAAGCAGCAAGCGTTGCGTGACAGAGGGCTCCACTCTGCCTTCTTTTCTTAATGCTGTTGTGGGCAGCATATGAGGTTGACTACATTTGTTTATCAGATAGTTTTCATTTCTCATTACTTTTTATCTGAGCTCTAATGTTCTGCTTCCCCTCTATTTTGCTTTCTGTATCAATGTGGTAACTGCAATAAATGTAACGGTTGAGGTGGCTTTGGCTATGGAAATTTACAGGTCCACAGTTCTGGAGCAGATGTCCAAGACCAAGTTATGGGCCAGGTGGCTTCTTTCTGGGGCTAGGGTAACCCCTGGGGGACACAGCTCAACCCGCCCATGTCCTGTTTCCTTTCCGTCCATCCTTCCATGTGTCGTGGGCCTCGTCCCCACTCTCTATCTCAATACCTTTCCTGCTGTTCTCTTCTCCCTTCCTGTAGGAGCTTCCTGGTCACTGAACAGGGAAAGGGGAGGGGACTTTGGCTCACGCTCTGGGCCATCGCAAACATAATCACTGCCTTCCAAAGTGGGGCCTCGTTGCTGGGCAAGCAGCCCAGGCTCGTTGGACATCTCACTCAATCAGACCCAATGCCACTAATTCCACTTACTATAATTTGTCTAAATAAAATATGTTAGGTCTTGGAAAATATGGTATGTTTGGATATTAATATGGGTTTATACAAGCAGGAAAATTGAGGTCACTTTCATATCCCCTCTAATGTCATGTTTACTGGCAGTAAGCGCTCGATTTAACAGTTGCCACAGGATCTCATTCTATCCCGGAGGAAGCTAAATTAACTGCTCTCCTATTTATTACCTGCTCATTAAAAAGCAGGGTACCCAGAGCTATAACAGAAGCTTTTGTTATAACTCAACCCCCCAACCAGCACCATTGTCCTTGCTGGGGACTTTGTACTTTTCCCTGCAGGGACTTTGGGAGGCTGCCCTCCCCCACAAAACAGGGGCCAGAATCTGAATTCTAACTCCCATTTTCTTAGCATTTGAAGATGTTTGCAGGCTTTGGGTGGCCTCCGCATCTCACAAACGCAAGCATGTGTGTTCTTTACCTGCTAGGTGGGGGGAACGTCTGAACATCCGAAGCTCAGCCAGGTTAGCACTTGCTGTGGGAAGGAACCACCCGGAAAACGAAGTCCAGGCGCTGGGGTCCCCTCGGGGAGTGTTTCACTCCTGATTCAGATACAAACCCAGAGCATCAAATGAGCACATAAAGGTCCATCCTTGTGACAAATGGGGACAGCCAAACTAATTTTCCTGGTGACCTTATCTAAATTAGTTAGAAAATAACACTTGAGATTTATGGCTAGTTACAATTAAGCCCTTTGATATCTTCTAATTAAACCTGTAAAGATTTATTTCTGTACTATTCCTCCAGTAACCCTTTAAAATTATAAAAATGTAAATGAACACTCCCCTCAGAAGAGAAGTTTCTATTTATCCCAAATTAGACTCACACCTTTCCTCTCAAATGGCTGCATTTTAGATTCAGGGTTTCACTGCTCAAATGCAAATTCCACACAGGTCTTAAATAATTTATTTTTGACGTGTGTGCCAACTTGTATATAATCTCTTAGCATATAAATCGAGCAAACCCTCTATGATGGTTTAACCTTATTTATATGTCCCACATTTTCAAACTCTCTCATTGTATGTAACCCAATATGCAAATGTTACAGTTTTTGAAGATAGGCTAGCCTGCTAGTCAGCCTAACTCCCAGGAACTACAGCAAGTCAGCCATTCTCTCGTGGGTTTTCCTCAGGCCTTTACCTGAGGAAAGCTGTGTTCTCCGTAGTGATGCTCCACACCCCCCGCTCCAGTTGCAAGCACCTGTGTCCTGTGGTAATCCGTAATCCGCCGCTGGGCCCAGCATGGGCTCCCATCCCCTGACTCTGGGCTTCCTTCCTTCCCAGGTGAGTACAGCTACCTGGGGACCACGCTGCGCCACCTGGCCATAGAGCCCATGCCCTCGCTCCTGGACGTGCGGCAGCTCATCACCTTGTACGGGATCTTGCCGCTAGGTGAGCCTGCCTTGTCCCCAAGCAGGAGTGGCTCTCCTTGTGCCTTCCACAGTGGGCTCCCATTTGTCGCCTATGCAGCCTGGCTTTTCCAACTGAGAATTCTGAGCCAACCTGGCTTCACTTGGGTGGTGGTTCCCAGTACAGAAAGGAATGAGCAAAAGGGGCACTGGTGTCACCCTGAGGACCTACACTCAGCTGGGTGAGCAGGGCCCAGGCCAGTTAAAGTTAGTGACCACTGAAGGAGGCCGGGGTGCCACCCGCCTCTTACCCGCTGCCCTCTGCACCTGGGCCCGGGTCTCTGCACTGAAGGAGACTCTGCCAGTCTTCCCTGTAGTCCACTGTCACTGCTGAGGCGCTCATGGTTCAGTGTGAGCCCCACACTGTGACCAGCTACATGGAAAACATGGCTCTCCGCCCTGTGAGCCAGGGGCTCTCCATTGTAAGGCCCTGTGTGACCAGAACCACCGTGGCCACTGAGACGCAGAAGTAGCCACTTGAGGCAGGCATGGCAAAATAAGCCTGTAATGCCAGCATTTGGGGAGACTGAGGCAGGAAGGTCAAAAGATAGAGCCCGACTGGGCAAATCAGTAATTTAGCAAGAACTTGGCTCAGAATAAATATAGGGAAGGGCAGTGGAGGTAACTCAGTGCCACAGTCCTTGGGACACTCACATCCATGGTCCCCTTCCCCACCGGAGCTGGGCAGATGAACACTGTCCCTGCCCTTACAGAATGGTAGGTATCTCCAAGATGGTGAGGGCCAGGAAGAGGCCAGACTGGACTCAGCACCCAGCCGTGGCCCCTCCGACTTTGGGGCCCTCTGGAAGTGGAGAGGGCAGACACCAGGAGCCAACGGCGTTCCCATCTGTCTGAGAGAACTGCAGGAAGAGTACGAACACCACTTACCCATGGACCCTGACTCCAAGGCCCTCCTGCCCACCTGTGGCCTCCCCAGGTCAGCTGGGCGCCAGGTGCAGGCCCGGACCACCCTCCCCCTGGTCTGGCACACCTTCTTCTGTTCTCCTGCTGCGGCACCCGCCCAGACTTCATCCCTGACTCCCTCTCCTCTGTCTGTTTCTCCCAGCCCTGATCACCACCAGCACCATGGCAAAGCTGCAACCCCAGCCACTGTCCAGGCACCCAGAGAGCCAGCACTGGCTCCATCCACCCCTTTTGCTTGTCCTCCGCCATTCACCAACCAGTCACCAGCACTGCTTATGCTCCAGCTGAAGGCCCCTGCAGGCCAGTGTGGCTGTGACCCCTCCCTTGAGCTCCTGCACACCTCCTTCACTCCCGATCTTTTGAGGCCCGCACAGGTGCCCTCCACTGAACTTAGGTCCTGCTAGGAGATCATGTGGCTCATGGGCTGAGTACTGTCAGTCCCCTATAGTGGGGTCTCAGCTCCCCCTCTAGCTATAAACTCTTGGTGACAAATATCCAATATTTTTACATCTGTTCAGGCACACAGGTATGTGCATGCACACACATAGCCCCAAGTCAGGGATACACACAAAGCACCCTTCTGTACCAGGATCAGGGGAAAGGCAGGGCCCAGGCTTCAGAACCAGGAGCCCTGTGGGTGCCTCAGGGTCCAAAAGGTTGGACATGGGCACTCTGTTACCCAATGGGCTGTGCCACTTCTGGCCTTCAGGAGTGCTGACTTGGCCCAGCCCCCCATGTCCACCCCAAAGAAGATTCTCTGGGCCACGTCCCACCTGAGCCCCTTGGGATGAGTACCTGCCAAGTGGGGTCATTGCTGGCAGCCACAGAGCTGGCTGTGATGGGGCAGAGGTGAAGACAGGCAGCAGTGGACTTCACAGGTCGGACCTCGTGACCCTGGACTCCTCACAGAATCCCTGGGCCAACATGGCCCACCTTGTGACGAGCCACACACCAAATACAGAACAAAATGCTCATGGATTGTGACCAGGCCCTGGGGACCACAGCACAGAGGAAAAGGCTAACAGGAGCAGAGATGGGCTGACATTGCTGAGTAAATAATAGGTGAAAGGGTTTCTCTCCCATCTTCTAATGACTCCTCCTCCTCTGATGTTGCTTTGGCCCTGACCAACCTCAGAGAAAGCATGCTGCTTTAGCTCCATTCTAAAGCTTGTTCCATTCATAACTTGTTCCAAACTATTCTCCAAGTTTATATGGAGAACCATATATAATTGTAGAACTTTAATTTCCAACTATCAAGTACTGTAATGCCTCTGTTCATGGATACTCCTGTTTGCAAACAATTTGGTTCACAAACAGAAGCCTTCTGCAGAGCCTGGCATCTGCTCACAGGCTCTGCATCTGTGAGGACCACAGCTGGCCACCTTGCTCACAAATGTGAATGCAGCCATCTTCCCCAGCATTGTGAAACAAGTGACATTTGTGAACCAAGATACCACTGTGGCTTTCCTGTATCTGTTCAGTTATACAAGAAAGAAAAAGAGCAAACGCCAACAAGTACATTGGCATTTTCACAGCTGGTCACAGACAGCCTGGAAGATGAACAAAAGCAAGCTGATGTGCTGTTAGAGGGCTCCTTCCCCACACTGGCCAGGACTGGATTTGGTCCACCTAACCATTACTAGTGCCCAATGTGAGCTCCACCATATCCTCTGAGGATGAGGCTCAGTGCATGGCCGTGCACTGGGTAGAGCGAGGTGGCCCCTCGGCATGTGTCTCACAGGAAGTCACCTTGTTACCAAGGGTCCAACCATGCTGTGGCAGCAGTCCAAGAGGCAGAGCAAGGGACAGAAGTCCAGACTGGTTCTCCACTGGGATTACGGTCTTCCCTTATCTCACAAGCACCGCAACATGCTAGGAAAGAGGGTCCCAAGCCCCTCGCCACTGGTGTGTCTGCATGACTTTCTGAAGATTTCAAAGGATTTCATGTTCTCAAAAAGAGAAATGCCAGCAATAGGTAGTTATCACAGGAATGCTCTTAAAATTATGAGTTTAGGGAAGTGCAAAGAAAGAGGTGGGGAGGAGAAGATATTGGAGAACCCCAGGGACCTGCAAGGCCCACCCTAAGCCCTGACCTACAAGTCAGAGGTACCACAGAGCCCACTGGGATGCAAGATGTGCCATGGATGGGCATGCACTCCATGCCTTTGTGGTGGCCATGCTGGGGAAGTATGGTGCATTCCTGCCCAGTGTAAGCTGGGCAGGCTTTCTCGGGCAGGCAGGCTTTCTTGAGCAGGCAGGCTTTCTCAGCCAGGCAGGCTTTCTTGGGCAGGCAGGCTTTCTTGATGGGATGTCAGAGACCCTGCCTTTGCATTTTTCAGGCTCTGCGACAGTGCACGAGAAAGCCCCACTGGTGAAATCACTGCTGTTGGTCGGGCCATCCGGTGTAGGAAAGAAGATGTTGGTACACGCCATCTGCACCGAGACAGGAGCCAACCTCTTCAACCTGTCCTCGGCCAATACCGCTGGGAAGTACCCTGGCAAGAGCGGACTCCAGATGATGCTGCATGTCGTCTTCAAGGTACCAGTCTTTTGCTTTCCATCATCCCCCCTCCTTCACATTATATTGCCAATTCTTGCAAAGACTTTCTTAAGCCAAGAAGTGCGTCACTTGGACTTGCCCTGTGTCCTCATCCCTTCTGCCTGAGCATTATTCTGCAATTAGAAACAGCCTCCTTTTTCACATAAACATCCTGCCCTGCCACCCACACCTGCCCCCTGGCCACAGGAATCCTTGTAGCCAGCATGCGTCTTGTTGGAAAGTAGATCCGAGGTTTCTGCCTTCCACTCACCTCACCACAATAGCTCGTATCAGATACTTGGGGTTTTAATACTTTTTTCTCATTGGTGCAAAGTACAGCACCTAAGCCTTGGGCCTCGTGTCAGGGAGGTGGGAAGCTAAGCAAGCACGATGGAGTGAGTACCCAAGGTCCTTTGGAGGCTGCTGCCTTGGGGCTCTGTGACACAGTTCATTGATGTGCAGCCCGAATAGGAATGGTTGCAGCTCCCACTCTGCTGAAGCATACAAAACAGGTGACCACAGTGGGAAGGCTCTGGTGGCACATGGTCCTCTCACTGCAGCACCTGGGCCAGCCCCACTCCCCATGGCCCCCTTGGTTATCAAGAAGAAATCAAATCCACGGGGGACACACCAGCACACGGCCGCACAGCTGCTCCTTCATACGGGCTCAATCGTTGCGTGACTTCTGTGTGCGAAACGCCCACTGAAGCCGTCTGCCTACTTCGGGTGGGATTGGTGAGGGTGCGAGTTCGAGCTCTTTGCTTCCTATGAATGCAAGCTGTGCATACATGTTACAAGTGTGTCCTCTCATTCTGTGACTTGTTTCATTGTCTTCTGGCCTTCCCTTCAGCAGTTGCCCTGTCAGTTACCGACAACGCCAAGACCTCCAGCCGCACGCATTTCTGTGTTGCTCTCCAGGTGTCAGCTTTGCCTCTTATATGCTGAGGAACCCTGAGGAGCCGCATCCACATTGAGGGTGCTGCCTTCCTGGTCATTTATCTCTGCAAACTGTCATCTGTTGGTCTCTGGAAATAGCCCTTGTCTTGAAGTCCACCGGTTTGATAGGCACGTGGCCACGCCGGCTTTCTTCGGGCTTCCTGCTCTGCTGTCAAGGGCCGTCACTCTCGTTATGCCGTCATCTTGCTCTTTGTAGTCTCCTGGATTCCTTTTTCTATTTCACTTTTCCTGCCTGCCTTTAATTCGGGTTTCTTAGTATTTCATGTAAACATATCTCTTGTCCTTTTAGCAATACTCCTTGCTTTATTTCTCAGCGGTTCTATGCATTTTGAGTTATTCTTGACAGCTCTGCAGCAGCAGTACTGTACTGTTTTACATCAAGTGTGAGAAGCTGGCCGCAGTACAACGCACGTATTATCCCCATCCCTTAAGTTGTTACTATCACATGTTTCTACCTAGAAGTGCCAGCAGGACCTCGGCAGAGCGTCCCCTTTCATGGGCCCCTGGGCTCAGCGCATTGGAACTCTCGGTCAACACCCCCAGCCAACACGCTTCTCCGTCTACCATCCTCCCGCTTCAAGGACTTCATCTAAAATTTCTTTCAGTGCAAGTTTAATGACAGCAAATTTCCTTATTTCTCTTAAATTATCTTGACATTCCCTTTACTTTTTAAGGATATTTTTGCTAGTATCGAAGTCAGGGTTGGCTTGTTATATGCTGTGTCCTTCCATTGTCTTCCAGCTTCATTTATTTCTGATGAAATGTTCCCATGTATTTTAGTTGTTGCCTACACGTAATACGTCATTGTTCTCTAAGATTTTCTCTTTATTTTGCTTTTCACCAACTCAACTATAATGTGCTTAGGCATTCCTGTCTGCTGTTCATTGTATTTGCCCTGCTTGTGGCTTGCTATATGTATTGAGCCTAAAAATATATTTTTAAACCAAATTTAGGGAAATGGGACCATTATTTCCAGCCCCCCCAAAAAAACCTTTTAACCTGTTTGCTCTTTTTCCAAGATCCAGTTACATACATATCGACTTATTACTGCTCCACAAGTCACAGGGCATCTATTATCTCTAGTTGCCACACTGAATAATTTCTATTAATCATGTTTAAATCGACCTGTTCTTTGTTCTACCATTTCCAATCTGTTAGCAAACTCTTCTTGTGGATTTTTTATTTCTACTCTTTTACTTTCCAACTCTAGACACTGCCTTCTTATCATGACTGGTTTTCATTTCTCTGCTTCAGTGCTCCATCTGCTCATTCATTACAACCATCTTTGACTTTAAGTCTTTGACATTGAAGTTGCCTTGCAGTCCTCATATTATTCCACGAGGGCACATCACAGAGCTCACTGTTTGACTGATTTTGCCTCGAGTATGTGTCACGCTTTGCCATTTCCTAAATCATTACTAACTTTCAATACGTATTAGACATTGTGCAGAAGCTTCGAAGCAAGCTGGGCTTTGCTCCAGTAGGCAGTGAAATTACTGGCTTTAGAGGCCTTGTCTCCCATGTTGTAACGTCATCTGTTTTGACTTTGTCCTTGGCTCGGGCAGCCACCTTCATCCTGACACTCAGCCTTTCCATGGAAGTTGCCCTGGAAACTGGGCTCACCAAGCACCTCTGACTTGGTGGTGGCTGAGGGCCTGCCTCCATGATCTCTGCTTACCCACAACTGCTCTTCTCTGAGGTTGTTGGAGTCCTCCGCTGTGTGCACATGCTTCAGAGGTCTGCCGATGGCTTAGAGGTGAGCTGGACTTGGAAGGCCCAAGCCCCTTACATTAAGACCTTCAGAGGAAAAGTCGAAGAACCCATCCTCTCACCAAAAAGAACATCCAAACTCGTTCCTCTGGAACATGCAGTTTTGATGACCTTTCACACTGCCAAGTCACGACAGAAGCCCGTAGATGTAAGAACTTCAGCGTTTTGCAAGCAGCCAAGGCTCCTAGGCCACTGCATACTCCGTGGCGTCCTACCACACTGGACACTTACAGCGACCTTGTGAGTTGGGCACTGTCATGGTCACGTCACAGATGTGGAGTGCTTCCCAGACGCAGAGCTGCCATGTGGCCCACGCAGGTTCCTCCCGGGGCTCGAGTCACAGAGCCTCAGGAAGCAGCCTCCGCCGGAGGTGCGCTGGGCTCCCTGCCTGGCTTCCTGCTGTCCCAGCAGCTCAGCAACTGCTGGCCTGAAAGATTTGCCCCTGTTGCCGAGCGCCTTTGTCTTGCTGTCAGATGAGCTATCTTGGCGCTTAGCAGAACTATCAAGAACCAATATTACACGGATCACAAAATGCTGAATGTCAAGTTATGAAAATGTGGAACAACACAGTTACGGAGTTAGGCAGCCTCCATCGGATGCCTGACACCCTGTCGTGCCTCCCCTCTCTGGTGTGTGTGCTGGATTGACGCAATCGAAGCTTGCACATGGTGAGACCGCAGTGCCGCCGGGACTGACAGGGCAGCTGTCCGCACTGCAGAGAGGCGTTTGCTTTGCATTAACTGAAGGGAAGCGGGATGCTGCACTGGCCCTGGGACATCAAGCTGTCACTGCGCTATGGGAACCAGGGGACACAGGCCACCTCTTATAAGGAGTCGCTGAGGCTCCAAGGTGAAGAGCAGGGCTGCCGGGAAGCTGCCGCAGGCTTCCAAGAGCACGCTGCTGGCAGCCCCGCAAACACTCCAGGAAGCAGTTGCTGACCTGCTTCACAGTGCCGGCTTCAGCTCCCGTTTGCTACCCTCATCTGTGGAGGGCTCCTTTATTTTACAGACAGTAGCCCACCAGGATGGCGGGTGTGGGAAGAGCGTTTGTGTACTGTGCAAGGAACCACTGGCACCCACGCTGTCTGTGAGGCCTGCGCTGTGCGTGGCAGAGGAGGAAGGGGGCTTGGACAGAGGCACGCGCTCCTCTAACCCATGAACAAATGCGGCAAAAAAATGACGGCTGTTTACTCAGTGTGTCATGGATGAAAGGAGTCCCAGGACAGACCCCTACCTGTGACCGCTGCGCCTGCCCCAGGCCCCTCTGGGTTGGGGAGGGGTGTGTCTTGTTTCCTTGGCAGTGGTCATTTTGTTTGCTTGCCGCAGTTCCAGCGTCTGAGGCTGGGGGCCACTGCGCTCTGTGCCCACCCAGTCCCTTGAGACAAGGCCTAGCCAAGGTATTCAGGCCAACCTTGAACTTGGGGCCTTTTCATCTCACTCCTGGATTTTTATAGTAGTAAGTCAGGGGACAGAAGCATGCAGGTGGTTGTTGGCCTCCAGGCAGGAGGGAGGCCATGCCAGGAGTGTGTTATGCCTACCTCCCCTCCCCACTGTGTCGACACCCTGCTGGGACAGGAATTAATATCCCCATTGTACAGAGAAGAGAACTGAGGCTCAGAGCACCTAATTTGACCATAACACAAAAGCAGGAGAGGACTGGAATCTGAATGGAAGCCCAGCCTGGCTCCAAATCAGCCATACCAGCCCCCACTGGCCTCTGGGTGAGGGTGGGCTCCCTGCCCCACCCTGCCTGCCCCTGGGGAGCCAGAGGCCAGCTGGAAACAAGCAGCTCTGAGGTCTTCAGGGTACCTGCTGTCCTGCAGGGTTCCACCTCCTCCTGATTCCTGCACCAGCAAGAGCTGCCCAGACCCTTGAGGCCCCTCACTAGAGAGTGGGGGGACCAGGCAGAGAGCCCTCTGCCTAAGCTCTGGGCAGGGGAGAGGCTTTTTTGCTGGGGTCCTGGACCCTTTTCCTCCTCCTGCACTAGGACCTGACCACCCAGGGCCACATTAGAGAGAGCACCCAGGAGCGCAGCACCGAGGCGTCGTGGCCATGATGAAGATCAGGCTGCATGTGCTAGGGCTGTGGGTCCCTCCTCCACTCAGAAATTCACCAAGACCAAAGAAGAGCTGGCCCCTGACCCCAAACAGAGCACTCCACAGGGAAACAGTGGGTGAGGTGAGGGGCCGCAGGGGGAAGGACCCAGAGCATAGGTACAGCTGCAGAACTGAAACCAGAGGGGCTCGTGACCTCAGTCCTGCATGGGACTGCTTG